CATTTCACAGCACTCTTCCCCTGTGATTCTTAGCTGTCTTTCAGCCCCTCTTCCTTGATATGATGCCCTTCCTGATTGCGTATTCTATGGTGTGCACATACGATACCCTTACTTAACTGGATGTGTGGGTTGTTTCTTAACTTCTTGCAAAAATAATTTGCCTTTAATTTGAAAGAACTCTGTTTGGGAGCTGGAGAGATGGCTCAGTGGTTAAACATGCTGGCAGCTCTTCCAGAGGACCTGGGATTGAGTTCCAGCATCCACATGGCAGCTCACACCCCTCTGTAAAGGGAATCTGACACCTTCTTCTGGTCTCCTTGGGTACCAAGCACACTCACGGTGCACAGGCAAACATGCAGGCCAAACACGCATGCACATAAACACTAATGAATATTTTAAAAATATGTCTTGAAAAGATCTCTGAGTGGTTTTAACTAAAGCCCAGTCTGGGGGAGAGCAGGGCTCTTGGGAGAGACTGGGGAGTCAGGAGATGAAAGACACCCATTTTTATCTGGTCTGAGCAATCAGATTAACCACTTGCTGGCTCTGTTTCCCTTTGGTGAGATGGTAGTCAGTCCTAAGCCACACGCCTCCCCAAACCGTGCAGATCTTCAGGGAGTAAAGCAAAGTGCTGTGATATGGAAGCCACACTGTGGGTTCACTTACATATAGCGTCTGGTCCCTTCCTACTCAGGAAAGGAACCCTGGCTTCCCTCCTCCCCTGCCTCCTCGCCACTGCCCCCTTTCTTTGTGAGCCCTCTTCTTTAACTCTTCCTCCATGCCAGTCGTCATGGTGCTGCACCCCTTAATCTCAACACCTAGAGACAGAAGCAGGCTGCTCTCTGTGAGTTCAAGGCCAGTCAGGTCTGCGTAGTGAGTTCTAGGACGGCCAGGGTTACACAGGTCATTTACTATTAGAAGGAATGTGCTTTTCCTTTTCCTTTTCAGCGCTGGGGATCCAACTCCAGGCCTCGTGCATGCTAGGTAGGTGTGCTACCATGGAGCCATACTTCCAGCCTGAAAGAGTGCCTTTTGCCTATTACTAATCATGGTCACAGCTACCATAAGCCACAACTGCTATACGCTGAAGCGCTGCTCATCAAGCCTGATGGTGAAAGCAATGCTTAGGATTATAGTCTGTCAGATCCATATGGGCTCATGAAGACAACATGATGCCCCATCTCCACTCCCATGCTGAGGCAAGGGTTTATAGAGGACTGGAGCAAGAGACAGTGCCAGCAAGCCGAGTAGGTAGATCAAATAGCTACTGTGTCTTAGAAGCAAACACCTGGGCACTGCCCATCACTTCTGAACTTGTATGACCTTGGCCAGTTTATCTGACATCCTCAAGACTCATTTTTGTTGCCTGTGGTGGAGTGGGACTATACATTTTTTCCCCAGGATGGCTGGGGTTGGGATACATACGGAGTAGCAGTTCTTCACTAATGGTTACGTGGATCCTTAGGTTACATGGCATCGACTCATCGCCTGTGCAGAATCCTCTCAGCCTGAGGCGTGTCTTGGAAAGCCCCGCCTCTCAGGGCAAAGGCTGCTTTTGATGGGGATGGTGTCTTCGCCAGCAACTTGTTAGTTCATTGATTCTGGTAATGATCACCCTTCAGATGGGGTGACCTTATGTGGATTTCCATTTGAGATACCCTAAAAGGGAGCCTGTTCCCCTGGTTACCTCTTGCTACCCACCAAGCAAGTGATATTTGTGTGGAATGTGCTGTCTGTGCTCTGAGAAAGTGACCAAGAGCAAGGTGGAGCACCCAGCGCACTGCGCGTATGTGTGGGTGTGTGCGTGCGTGTGTGTGCAAGCGCGTGTGTGCGCGTGTGCTTGCGTGTATGTGTGTGTGTGTGCGTGTGTGTGTGTGTGTGTGTGTGTGTGTGAAGACCAGAGTGGAGGTTGACAGGGATCTTCCTTGATCACTGCTTTGTTGGCCGTGTCAGAGTCTCACAATGAGCCTGGAACTCTCTGATCCATTAATCCATCACTGCTTCCTGGTCAGGAAGGCGTTACAGGCAGGCCACACTGCTGCCTGGCGTTTCTGTGAGGGTTGGGGATCACCATGCTTACGCAGCAGGCTCTTTATCTACTGCACTGTCTCTCCAGCCCAGCCCAGGCATTTTAATGGTCATCTGGAGAAATGCAGGGTTAGAGCTATGGTGGATTAAAAGGACACTTTGCCTTTTAAAAATTCCTTTGGCTGATACTTGCCATCCCACAAAATTTCTTTCTCCTACATGCTTAACTCAAAATTGTCTTGGAATAAAAACATTCAAGATGTTTTTGTAAAATATTGGTGACTTAAGGTCTATGGTGACGGTTAAGAAGAAATTTGAGTAATGTGTGCATGCACTACAGTTGATCTCAGTAATATACATTTAAATGTTTCAAGTCAGCTTTAGTTAATTTCAAGTTCATGTAAGACCGCCAAGTTGACCCACTGAGTGGCAATGTGGCACCCCAGGCGCACCTCACTAAGGACAAGCCACACTGGCAGCCCATCTGCCAGGGATATGGAGCATGGTGGTCAGAGTCAGACCCTCCCTCCCAGAAGCCTGCTGGGAAAGGCAACCAATGTCATTTTGTGAGGAACAGTCTACCAGAGCCTTTTCTCTTACAGGGCTTGATTCCTTAAGAAACACTGATTTTTGCCGGGCGGTGGTGGCACACGCCTTTAATCCCAGCACTTGGGAGGCAGAGGTAGGCGGATCTCTGTGAGTTCGAGGCTGGGCTGATCCGACAGCCTCCAAAACAACACAGAGAAACCCTGTCTCGTAAAAACAACAACAACAAAAAAAAAAACAAAAACAAACAAACAAAAGAAACACTGATTGTATTTATGCAAGGAGATAAGTTAAACTGAACACCAAGTGTCCCAGCTCTCTCAAGGTGTTCTTTGGTGGACCCCGGTGTGAGACTGGGCAGGCACAGCTGTGGCTGGAATTGGCACTTGGTGGAGGCGACATTTAAACATCCTTTAGGTCCTAGTGTTATCTATGTATCTACCTATGTGTGTATCTGTCTGACATTTATCTATCTCCATCTCCCCTCTCTCCCTCCTTCCTCATCCCAGGGACTCACCCTGTAGCTGAGGTCTCCCTGGGACTTACCATGTAGCCCAGGCTGGCCTCTTTTGCTTCAGGCTCCTGAAAGCTGATGTTACCAGTGGGCTCCCCACACCTAGCTGGCTTCTAGTTTCTTCTCTCCTTCTTGTCGTCCTTAGGCCCCTTTCTTCTCTACATGAAACCAATTACATGAAATTGCAAACAATCCCCCAAAACAAAACTACCAAGGTTTCACTTTTTTTTTCAGATAAAACAAAACATCAAAATCCAACAACCAAATGAACTAAGGGAGTGACTTCTTTCTCCTCTTCATTTTTACTTTTCCCCTTTGTTTTTATATTTATTTCCAAAGGACAAAACGCTCAGAGAGTTTAAATGGAGTCTAAAAGGGTCGTCGTCAGCGTGGCTCTGCAGTGTTTCTCCAGACAGGGACCTGGCTCTCTAGGGGTCTTCCCACGAGGTGATGGCTCTGTGACTTCACACGAATCCTCCTCAACTGCAATCCATCTACACTTTTTTCTTCATTTGGTGAGGACAATTACTTTTCCACATCTATGTCATGAATTTCAGCTCAAAGTTTGTCTTCCGTGGCCATAATAATTTCCATTTGGCCTAAGCTGGCTAAACCCAGGTCTTTCATAAAACGGAAACTGATTGAGAGCTTTTCTGGGCCAATCTTGCCAGGGAGTTTCACTAACTTAACCTTTGATTTCCTTGGATGTCAAAGGGGCACACACTACTGTCAGTACAAATGTGACTCTTTATGACACCCAGCAGAAATGGGGACTGCCATCCAAGCTGGGCCAGTGCCAGTGTGGGGACCAACTTGAGGGAGAGTGGGAAGGGCTGTCATGGACAGGTGACACAGGCAGAGAGGACATGTGCTGCCCAGGGAATAAATTCTTCTCAGTATGTATCATGCTTTGACTTTAAAAACATCAATTTTCCAACTTATTTAATTTGATGAGACAAATTTATTTCAGACTGCATATCCATTCCAACAAACTTCAAATTGTAGTTCCTTTTTGATTTTTATGTTCTCAGTAACTGGTTAAGCTGTGACATAGACCTTCCCAGTTAGCTGATGATCAGGGCTGGCTGAGAAAGCATGCTGTCCATTCCTACAAGTAAGCCTGGTGGGCAGCCTGTAGTTGTAGAACAGGCATTTCATCCTGTAGGAAATCCTTGGGACAGATCCCAGGTGCCCAGAGTGAGTGAGGTAGGCCCGAGAAAACCTGCTTCACCTTCTAGAAAGAAGGGAGGAGAAAAGGCCCCTTCGCTGGTATGAACTGGGTTAGTGGAAAGGTGGTGCCTGAAGGAGAGGCGACAGTTCCTTCCCACATTTGGACAAGGAGAAGCACTTACATATGCGCGCAGACAGAGAGAGAGGCAGCTTTGGAGCCGACAGGTACAGCCATAGCGTGTCACCCTCAAAGGTACACCCCTCTGATAGCACACAGGCTGTCGGCATTGTTCTCTTTTTTGCCCAAAGCCAAGCATTGGCCTTGTCAGATCACTACAGCCTTATGAGCCTGGTGTGGCCCTCACTGCTGCAGGGCTGGGACAAAGAGATGATGTTACAGTCTGGTTTCTATGGCAACAGAGGAGGAGTAATGAAAACTGAAATGTAGGAAACACCCATTCTCACAATTGTGACATAATTCAGTTTATTACAAGGAAGTAACTATCCAAGAAGCAGAAGTGTCATTACCTGGCAGCTGGTGTGCACAAAAAGCTGCACTGTGCATTTATCTTAGTTGGGCTGTAAGAGGAAAGAAACCACACACACACACACACACACACACACACACACACACACACACACACACAGAGTCCTCGCTTTCTGCATGTAAAATGTGTGTGTTCTGTAGAAGCCAGTGGTTGGCTGGTTTTCCGGACATGATGTGGTTGAAGCTGTCATCGTAATGGAAATTCACTGCCGTAGCTATGGTAAATCGAGTGTTCTGCCTGTGCTGAATGCATTAGTCTAATGAGATGTTTGCAGCGGCGAGCAGGGCTGTTGGAGACTAGCTGTGAGCAGTAGCACACGGTGGAAGATAGCGTGTGCAACATTCGGGTGCACGTGCAGGATATTACCTGTCTTCTAAGTCAACACTCCCGACCCGATCAACACCCTGATCAGGGCTCTGTGATCAAGCTGTAGGTAAGGGAGACGCACGCTGGAGGGTGTGCCGTGATACGGGTCCTTCTCTTGGGGCTGTCAGCACAACAGGTTACCTGCTTTAGTTTATTTGGGAGGGTTTGCATGCCTGCCTCCATGGCAATGCACAAGTGTCTAGTGCTAAAACTACTAAGCCCAGTGGGTAAACTTCAGATCTTAAAATGAAAAATACGATGTTTGATTTCATATATTCATAACTGTATCTCAAAGATGTAGTATAGAAATACACAGCTTATGTTTTATATGTACACATTTACTGCTCTTTATTGATGCATATAAAGTACAAATTTAATTTTTCAAACATGAACCCAGATAACTGTTTGGATTTTTTACTAATAATTGAGCTTGGCGTGGCTTTGTTTTATTAATGTAAAAATTGTAGTATGCTCTAGGTTACAAATATTTACCTTAACATTTATTTTTTAAATAGGTGTGTTATAAACACACATTAAAGCATTTGTTTTACCGTTGAATTTTACTTACTTATTTTGAATGTTTCTGATGGAATATTTCATGTCTTTGTGTTGTTGGTTGCTAATTTAGCAGTCATAGGTGAGGCTAGGTAGTAATTGCTAGTTGCGGCTATTAGTTTTTATTAGGGGAAATCTCAAGTTAGTTTGGAATGGTTGGAGGCTTCCCATAACTCAAAGACTAAGTCACCTCCTTTCCAGGTGTGCACTGTGTGACCTGAAGCGGCTTCTACTTGTTTTCCTGCAGCCCAAAGTCACCTGCAGGTGTTTGCTAGGCAGACAGGGACAGTGGGTAAGACCGTGCCTCAAGCTGCAGGGCTGGCACTTTTCACTCTCACTGATGTGTTTGGTTCGAGTTCTTCCCATCATTTGTGAGGATAAACCAGAGGTGTCTTGCTGTGTTCTTCCTAGGGTCGTGACATTTCTCAAGAGGAAGACCATCAGCTCTTTGTAGCTGGGGTAGTCGGAAAGTAATCTGGGCACTTCAGAATAGACATATTTGCTGTGTGCTCTGTGTTTATAATTCCTCTTCCAGTTAAGGAACAATATTTTTGAAGGGGCAAGAGATATAGTTACCTTTCCCCCCCCCAAGACTTTCTTCTCATTAAAAAACTAAAACAAAACAGAATGTCTGGAGTGAATGCATAGAAGTATAGAAATAATTATAAAGGACAAGGTACATGATCTGGATACAGCGTCTCCTGGAATGTTATGTACAGAGTTGCTTGCTAGAAATGCTCAATCTAGTTACTATTTGAACAACATCTACTGGGTCACTGTAACCTAGAAAACCAGCACTGAGTGACCATCAAAACGTAACTAAAATGTGGACATAGATGGTCCATGCACAAAGTTGCTCGGTGGCTTTGCAATTTAGTTTCAAAATATACTTGACAACTATTTTTAAAACATGGATTTTTTTTCTATTGCTCTTAAGATTGTGTATGTGGAGGAAGCTTCTCCAAGAATCTGCCTGTCCAATTTGTAGTATCACAAAAGGGAATAAAGACTCCCACAAACTCCCAAAATCTAGTTGTTTACTGCATTTACGTTTCTCACCATGTCACCAACATTACTTTTATTTTATTCTTAAAGGATGTGGATGAGCAGTAGTAAGACAGGAAAACCCACAGGCGAGCACCACTTCCTGCGGGGCTTTGCTGCCGGTGTTTCCCGCAAGAGAAACCAGCTGTAGTTTCACTTTCTGGTTCTGGTTGTGGGGGCGAGGGATGGAGGTCATAGATACCAGCTTCTGGGAAACAAGCCAAATCCAAATGCAGTCACCCCCCTGACTCCTGTACTTTGATCTCGACAACTCAAACAAGCAAGGACTTTCAATATATTCAATACTGCTTGCCTGTGATAAAAATTTAACAATACCTGAAAGGACAAAGATAGAAGTTTAACTTACTTTTTAAATGAGTTTAACCTTTTTTTACTAAATGGTGGAAAAATCATGACTGGATTGCCCCAAACCTCTTTATAATGGGATGGCTTTTATTGTTTCGTTTAAATCTTAGCGTTCGATCTCAAATGCTTGTTTGCAATAAGTTTAAGGAAATATAGCATGGAATTCTCCCGGAAGAATAACTTCTCTGTTGGAAACCTGGGGTGTTGGACACAAATTTGTAGCATTTCTTAGGTCTGCAATTTTGCAAGACCCAAGGGTTCTCTCTCTGTCTCTCTCTCTCTGTCTCTCTGTCTCTGTCTCTGTCTCTCTCTCTCTCTCTCTCTCTCTCTCTCTCTCACACACACACACACACATACCTTGTGACACATACTTTGGAACAGCATTGGTCGGGGGAGGTGAAGGTCAGAATTGAGAGTTCCTTAGAACCTTTACTTTCCCCTAAGCTGGTACCTCCAAAGCTTCAGTGTCTCATCTAGGTAACTGTGTGCTCCTTGGGATTTAGAATTCCAACTTCCTCCTGTTTCAATCCCTTCGATTTTGTTTGAGAACGAATTTGGGAATGAAGATGAAGACATACCCGTATTCCATCTAGTTGTCAAGGACTGCAAAATCACTCTCCTGTTTCAGGAGTGGTGTCTATGGAGCAGTCTCCCCTCAGGATGAGCATACAGGCTTCTTTCTATTGATGGGCAAATTCAGTATTTCTGAGAGCTTTTAAAAAAGCTTCCTGGGATATTTTATGTCTTAATTCTGAAGTCTCCCAAAAGACTCTGAGATTTACACATTTTTCCTCCTTTAAAAATGCTTCTGTTGCTTTCAAAGACAGGTGAGGAGAGATGGGGGATTCAATGGTCCCTAGGAGGAAGAAAATTCCGATGGTTTGGTACAAATATGATGTAACAGAAGCCGCCAGGGTGTCTAGTAAATTACTCTAAATTTTAATTAATGAGACACAAAAGCCACACTACAAGCTTTAAAAATTACCCTTTTATCAATAAGGTGATAATTAACTTTCTCTAGAATTAGCGATTCTCTGAGCCCCCGGGCAGTGTGCCGCCTGCTAAGTTCTTTGGAATGCTGCCAATTTTTAACAATTGGTCTTTGGCAAACCTAGTGGTTTTTAATTCATCTATTGTGGCATTTTCAGTTGTGGCTCAAAGACCATTAAGATCACTCAAATCCTGACGAAATTTCTGAGACCCAGAGTAGTTCAGAGTGTTTGGGTTGCATTTGAATTGGTTACTTTCTTTTTCTTCATTTTCCCATTTCTACCTTTTTTCTCCCCAAATTCCAGTGTCTGCAGGGGTGCAGTCTTCTAGATGCAGGCTGCTGGGAGCCTTAGGGACGAATCTGGTTTGCCGGCTTGCACAGCCACCGGGTGCATTCTTGTTGGGGTTTATTTTATCTCGGTTTCAGTTCTGGCATGCGGGTGTGTCCCCCTGAATTTCAGCAAGCTTTCACTAGTGGATCATCAGATGCAAAGATTTAGATGGAGACTTGAGGGAAAGCTCAAGCTGGAGACATTTTTGGTTATGTCTAGGGGTTTGCAATTTATCGGATTTACCCAAAGTGAAGGTTATAGGGTGGGGGTGCAGGAACCTAGCCCCCCACATCTCAGAGGTGGCTCCGTATGAAACACACACATCACACATCACATCACATCACACCACACACACACACACACACCACACACTTTTGGTCAGGCTGGGATGCTAGTGTTAAGGTCTAGGCAGGCAGTTCACACTGAGACAACTATGCTCTTGCCTTCAGTCAGGTGTGCATTCTAGAACAAATCAGCCCCTGGCAACCAGGAGGAGCCCTCTAGCCACAGCTAAGGAGACAATACTCCTCAGGTTATGGGGTGGTTACAGCTTGGGTTACTCCTTCCAGGAAGAAAACAATGTATCACCCAGGGGCAGTCCCGAGTTTGTGCTAAGCTAAAAAGTCATGCCACAGAGTCCTGGTGACACCCAGAAGCCCCTGGAGTGTGTCCTTGGCTTTCCAAGCAGGCCTCTGGTGTAGCTTCTGCTCCCGATGGCCCCTGCAGCATCACCGGGAATTTGGCGGCAATTCCTCAGCACCGCTGTTCAGAAAGTTTTATCTATGAAGTACATGTGCGAAAGGTGTTTGGGCAGCAGCATTTGTTGATAACTGGGCTCAGTTGCACTGTTGGGGATTTTTGGGATTCAGTTCGCATTCCTGATGCCGGGCTCCAGGAAGGAGGAGGAACAGCCTTGCTTTCTGCAGAAGTCTCAACAGTGGAGCTGGCTGTTGTGAGAACGTGAACATCCCAGGGCAACCAGCGCCTGCTGTGCTTTGAAAGGAGGCAATGCTGGCTGCCCAGATCCCTGATAGTGACTCAGCTTCTGAGAGCTGAATGTTTGGTGACAGAAGCTTTTCCCTTTCTCTATCCCTGTGCTGTTTTATATAGCATCGATCTCATTGGTTCGAAACAAGACACACATGGCTCGAAAGTCATAAAGAAAGTTCATGAAGGGACAGATGCAAGTGAGGCAGAGCAAAGAATTGTCCCAGTGGGGTCCAAGTGAAGCAAGGGGAGGGGCGCTGTGGGGAAGTGACTAAGGTGCTGGGGCAGAACCCGGGGAAGGGGCACAGAAAGATTGGGCACAACGAGGTGGCCTGTGGCTCTCAACTGACAGAGCTTGGACCATTTTCTTTTAGGTAGAAGGAAGGCTTCTTTTTTCTCTCTTTGATCCAGATGTCATCCCAGGACATCATGTCTATAATGAGAAAACCAGGATTAAACACAAGATGTGTTTTTGCCAACTGGCCTGTAGGCATGCGTGCTCTCGGAGTGGCTGTATCTGAGGCTCTGCCGTGGCACTGGCCTTGAAGCCAGCCTCGGGCGGCCTCTGGATTTGAATTCTGTTTTGCCTGGCAGACAAGGGAACGAAAGTGGAGAGAAAACACATGGTAGAAGTCAGCCGTGGGGACTCATGCTTTTGATTTTGGAAATGAGATTAGAAGTTTATGCAACTGAAACATCCCTTTGGGCCTAACCATTTCTGGGCTATTACCACATCTGGTGCAAGACTCATTCTTTGTGTGTATATGTATGTGCATGTACATGCATGCATAAGTGTAGTCATGTTTTGTAGAAGTCAGAGGTTACTATTAGGTGACTCCCTCAATGGCTGTCTATCTTAATTTTTGAGATGGGTCTCTCATGGCCCTGGATCTTGCTGATTGTCTGGACTGGTTGGCCAGTAGGCCCCCAGAAGTCTTCTGTTTCTGTTTCCCTAGTGCTGGGATTCCATGCTTGTCCACCATGCCTGCCTGGCCTTTTGTGTGTGTGTGTGTGTGTGTGTGTGTGTGTGCAATCCAAACTCAGCTCTCATGCTTGTTCAGCAAATCACTTTGCCAAATGGGCTGAGGCTTCTCCGGTCCCAAGACACATTCTCCTTTTTGGCTTTCCAGAAAGGAGGCTAACTTCTTCCCTTCGCCATTCTTAGGCTCAACTGCCTTCCCTGTTGTGGAGATGTCAACTCTATGAAACCATCAGCCATGAAGAATGCGGTTTATTCCAAAGACAACGACTGAAATCACTGCAGAAGGCGTTGGGTGTGCTGCCAGTACAGTACACCCCATGTGGCAATAGGTTTCTGTCATTTTTCAGTCTGTGATTATTGTCCTGGTTATGCTATCTCCATTTGTCACCCATGCTGGAATTTGCCTTGAGATTTAGGGTTCATTCAGTGACTTCTGGGGCATTGCCCCTTCTATTAGGAATTCTCCTTCTTGGTGCAAAATATGCAGCGTCTACTTGAGAGCATCTCTTCTACTGTCTAATTTGCAAGAAAGATTCAAGTGGAAGGCTATACATCCTTTGGTGTTTGGATTATAAGCAAACAGAAACAGTGGGGCAAACCATTAATGTTTTTCAATCACCACTAACAGTGTGAAGATGTAGCTGTTTGTTTGTTTGGTGGTGTGTGTGTGACATTCTTGTCCTAGAGACAAGATCTCACCACATAGCCTTGGCTGGCCTGGAACTTGCTATGTAGACCACACTGGTCTTGAACTCGTAGAACTCTGCTTGTCTCTGCCTTCCAGGTGTTGGGATTACAGGTGTGCACCACCACACCCAACTAGCTTTTGTTTGGAGTGTTCATTACATAATAAGCATTAAATACTCAACATAAATAAAACAACCAAACAGTAGGGCGGGGTTATACCAGGGCTTGATGTGGACATAGCTAATTGGTCCCCAAGTGAGAAGCTGTACAAGTGTGTGTTGCTTTAATGAGAGCAAATGAGGATAAATTCTCTTCAGGGATGAGAAGTGAGAAATTCAATTTGGGCAGTGATGTGCAGAGATTGTGGCTGCTGGTGGCCCTGATGGCGCAGAGGGAAGTTCCTTTCCTTTCTTGCCTTCCCTTTGTGGTGGAAGTCATTTGGCGCAAGTTCAGTGAAGGGTAACACGACTGAAGATGCTGTGGGAGCAGAGTGGGTGCACTCAGAAAGTTTGCTCCGTGTGTGTCCCTAGCAGGAGCCCGATTCTCTCTCCAAGTCAGATGGTCTGAGACCAGGATAGTGAGAAAAAAACTTAAAACTATGAAACACATATAGCTATTTCTGTATTTCATGTGAAATACATATAGCTATTTTTGCACATAGGTCAGGTCTTTTTTTATATTTGGCATTTTCAAGGCTGAAGAGAGAAATATTTAGAGACCTATTATGGGGGGCGGGGCAGAAAAACCTATTAATTTCCATAAGACCCGAGGCCCGGCTGTTGCTGGTTGATTTTAGTGGAGGGCGTTGTGAGTTACCAGTTAAACAAATCCAGGCCTGGCTTAGGCTGAGGTTTCCTTCCTCCTGATTGCTGCCTTATGCAGCCACTCCCAAGCTCCAGGGTTTTCTTTCTCCTCCCTGAACACAGACAATGGATGAGCTAAGAAGAATTTGTATGGGAATCACAGATCTAAGAGAGCCCCCATTTTCAAGTTAGCTCACTCTGTTTTAGGGGATAGATGGATACAAATATCAATCAAAACAACACTATTGAGGAGAAGACACTGGGCATCTGAGGAAAGAGTTAAAAGCAAGAACTTATGACCTGAGCCATTGTCCCCCGGCAAACCCAGACACCCAAATGGGAGGCCGACCTCTTTCTGTTGTTAGGATGCTCCAGTGGTACCCAAGGGTGCCTTCGTCTCCAGTGTTTCCCCAGTTTCCTTTTCCAGCAGCTTCTCTCTCTGCTGGGGACTCACATTTGCCCTCAGAATTGCACAGGACTGATCTGTAAGTTACATATGTTATTAAAATGTCTAAGTTTACCCAGTAACAAGACACAAACTGTGAGTCAACGGTCCCACGTGGAGTTTTATTGGTGGACAGGGAAGGAAAAGGGGGGGTGGGAGGAACCCAACCCGTGCAGAGCTGAGAGAGAGAGGAGAGTAAGAGAGGACTAAAAGAGAGTGTAAGCGGGCAGGGGTCAGTCCTTTAAAGGGGTCCTTTGCACCTGCGTGGTTCTCACAGAACTCTGGGCTGGCCAGAGTGCTGCCTGAGTGCATCCTGCCAGGTAACAGGGCAGGCCAGTGTAATGCCTGAACCTTTCATTCCCACCTTTATTTATGATTAAAAAGAGGTGGGGGTGTTAGACGTGGCAGGTTAGGGAATAAGGACGTTGAGGTCTTAAGACGGCTTCTTGCTGACCTGAGGCCTGAGGGCGTTGACCATCTTTGGGGAATCTTGAGAAAGTTGGGGTGTTGTCACATCTTGAGTAGTTGGTTGTTCCATTGTAGTGCAGGCTGTGCGGAACTCTGGCATCTCTGTGGATCTGGCAAGATGTTAGCAGAGTAGAGGACAAAGTTAGGTTTAACATTTTTTTTTAGGTTCTGGTATTTGAGGAGAAGATTGTAAGATGACGGATGGATTCCTGAGGGGCCCCAAGACGAGGGAAGGGAGTCCTAGGACCAGGGAGAGGTTGAATAATATCTGTTGTGAATCTAACCCGTTTGGATGGGTCCAATTTGGCTTCCTGGAACTTACAAGAATCCTTTGAGTTTGTGAAAACATAAGTATTATACACATCAGCAACATATTTGTGTTACAAATGACTTGGCTAAAAGTATTAACATTTTTAAAACTGACAGATATTTTTAGCACAATGAAAAGCACCTTAATTTTGAGCTTATAGTTATGATCATATAGTGGTATAGTTGTTTAGCACTCTGTTGGAGTTAGATTAGTAGCTTATCAGAACTTTATCGATTAATGTTAAGAATATGAACAGTAGTAAAATGAAAGAGAGAAACCTGGAACATGCTTAATTTTTAAAAATGTCTCAACTTACTTTATTACATTACCATCTTATATAGATAAACCTTGGAATACCTGCCCCAGAAATCTGTTTTATGACAGAGCTTTGCCTTGTCTGTTACTTTAAGGTGGCAAAGCTACCAGCCGTCTAAAGCATCAGAGTTCTTGAGAAGGATAAGATTTTACCTGAGGTTTGAGAATGAGAGACTTAGTAGCTGACTGCGTGGACAGCCACCCCCAAGGTTCTCCACAGTTCTTCAAAGTCAGAGGCTCCAAAAACACCTGCCTTTTGCTGATAGTGAGACCTGTGGATTGGGAACTTTTTAGGAAGGCTTTCCTACCTTTGACCCGAACAACGTAGAGAAAGTCTATTCCAGTGTCCTCTTGTTCACTGTCTGAAGAGTCCTTTGAAGCAGTTGAGGTGAAGGGCAGGGTGGCTTAGTGGCCAGCGTTGCCACTTTTGTGGCCTGAGTTTCTTCAATGTCCACCAGTCTTCTTGGAGGAAATGGAGTGGTGCCAGCAGCTGGCCTGTCTCTGTTATAAAAAGCTTTTTAGTAAAATATTTAAATGCCATGTTCTCTAGATCTCTGAGCATTTGAGGACTGTCTGTTTAGTATATCTTAGTAGACAAAACTTATCTTTAGTGACTTGCCTTAAGAGCAGAGGTGGCTAGAGAATAGAAGTAATAGAAGCTTTACCTCTGTAAACAGCTTATAGGAAGGACTGGGTGTTATAAATACTTTGTTAATTTGAAATAGACCCTTATAACTTTAAATGTTTACCATCACTTAAAGATACAACAATTTAGAAATATTTGATATTTAATATAGTTGAATTTAAATAGTATATAAAGTTACCTTATATTTTTACACATACATATAGATACATTAAACAGGATTGGGTAAAAGCGGTTGATCCACACTTGTAGCAAACAGACAGATTTAAAGAGACAGCCAGTGACGAGAAGGAAGATTTGCTGCAGATAGCACAGGGGACCCTGGAAAGGCACAGTATTCCATAAACAAGCATGTGCAGCAGGATCAGTGAAAGATGAAATTAGAGACAAAAATAAAAGCGCAAAAGAGACAAAAAGTAAATGAATTGTATCTGCCAGCAGGCTTTGCTGGCAGAACCTGGCTAGACTAAGTGGGCATGTCTACAGCTAGGTCACTTGGTAAACATGGCAGCTTCCATAAACCAGTTCCCAAGCTAGGCCGCATGGTTAAGATAGCCCAGATGGTGGCCTCTATAGGCACATTTCCGTCTGCCAGCAGAAGGGGCCTTTTTTCTCCACGAGTGAGGCAGAAAGATGTGTGACCACTGTAGTTCTAAGAAACGAATGAACGGCCAGTGCCAGGGTATAAAATCTGAGAGACCCCTTGTGGGTCTGAGCAGTGAAAAATCCGAAAACCTCAAACCTCATTTGTGGGGGAAAAAATGAAAAACTCTCAGAGCGTCCTGAGCAGACGCTAAACTGGGATCAACAGGAGAGAGACAAAACAGGACACTCCCAGGTGGAAGGCGGTTCCCGCCCTGAGACAGCTTTAGCCATGATGGGAAGCGATGGGAAGCCTCTGCGGTCACCGGGAGTTTTAGCGCCCAGGGAACAGAAAAGTAAGAGAAGTGAGGAAGAGTAAGAGAGGACTAAAAGAGCGTAAGTAGGCAGGGGTCAGTCCTTTAAAGGGGTCCTTTGCACAGAACTCTGGGCTGGCCAGAGTGCTGCCTGAGTGCATCCTGCCAGGTAACAGGGCAGGCCAGCGTAATGCCTGAACTTTTCAACATAGACTCTAGTTCCTAAAAGCCAACTGACTGCCTACCAGTGTGACCTGGGCCGAACTCAGGCATCCTTGAAAATTCTAGAACTTCTCTGCCTTCCTGGAGATGGTTCTCTTTGTCAGTTCTCACTGTCAAGGTGGTCTAGACCAAGCAGAACTTTGAACGGGCTTAGCGAGTGATGAAGTGCTATGGCAACAGTAACGTGATGACGCTTGCATTTGTGGAGATGAAGGGTGACACCCTTGTGCCACGTAAGCAAAGACCAACTCATTGCCAAGAGGCCCCTGTCTCTCCACTGCGGAGCACCTGTGGGCCATGCCACTCTCCGCTGTTGCTACTCTCTCTCTCCTCTCTGTCTCTGTCTCTGTCTCTGTCTCTCTGTCTCTGTCTCTGTCTCTCTCTCTCCCTTAAACATCTAATTAAGAGCACTTTCCACTCTTGCTGAGGACGTGGCTTTGGTTTGCAGAAGCCACATGTCAGCTTACATCTGTCTATAACTCCAGTTCTAGGGGATTCGATGCCCTCTTCCGATCTCCTCAGAAACAAGGCATGCACACGGTACACATAGACATACATGCAGACAAGCATTGTACATGTGAAATAAAAAACTGACATATTAAAAATAGAGAAACCTCGATGGATTTTCCCTAAACTGCTGACCTGTCTTAAGCCACAAAGTTCTTAATGCAGCAACAGATCACCGGGACACAGTGAGAACGTAGCTTCTACTGGCGATCGCTTTTACACATAGGAAAGAAGGACACAGCACCTAAGAAGGGGTGTGGGGCCACCCACTGGAGCTCTGTCGGCCTACTAGTGCCTATACCTCTTTTATTTATATTTTTAATACTAAATATGTCATGTGAATTCATAAGTGTGACAAATTTTATTAAAAGTCTGTTTATTTTAGCTGAGTATGGAGTTGCATGTCTACAGCCCCAGACACTCAAAAGCAGGGGTGGGGGGGTGGGAGTGGGCACTGTTGAGCCCAGGAGTTCAAGGCCAGCCTAGGCAACATAGCAAGAAGTCACATTTAAGAAGGTACACACTTAATAAAGTTTTATTCAAACATTTCCTAAAAAGTACTTATTTAAGTAGAACATAAAAGATTAATAAATACTAAAAATGTCCTATAGAGTGTGTATTATTGTCCATATCTTTAATCTCAGCACTCTGGAGGCAAAGGCAGGTGAATCTCTGAGTTTGAGGCAAGCCTGATCTACATTAGCAAGCAGGCTCTAGGCCAACCAGGGCTGCATAGAGAGAGCCTATCTGTAAAAAAGAAGTGATACAGGGGGTACGCTTCCAAAGAAGCAGACTCGGTCAGTAAGGCTTGTGTGCACGTGTGTAAGATCTACAAAGAGCAGAATCATTCGGTAGGGCTTGTGTGCACGTGTGTGTAAGATCTGAAAATCTGAGGAACGCCTCACATGAAACTGAGGCTGGGAAGTTCAGGCTTTGCCGGTGGTGAACTGGATACTTAGCGTAATCATTCCACCTGACAGTAGACTTGAGAGCCAATAAGAACGCATATTGGCGCTGGAGAGATGGCTCAGCAATTAGGAGCACTTGCTGCTCTAGCACGGGTGCTGAGTTCAGTTCCCAGCACTCAAGGCAACTCACAACCTCTATAACTCCAGTTCCAGGGGGTCTGAAGTCCTCTTTTGGCCTCTGCAAGCATGGCGTTATTACATGTATGCAGGCACTACACTCATGTGCATAAAATAAAAATAAAATCTCAAGAAGAGGAGGAGATACTTCGGTGGGTTGGAGGCGATGAGAATATAATCTGTCTCGGTGAGGCAGGCAGGAGGTGGGGTTCTCTGGGGCTAGGTGGAAGGCCAGCGTTTTGTACTTTAGGGTTAGGTAGATTAGATGAGGTCTGCCGTATGAGGAGGGCAATCTTCTTTCTCCATTCCACTGCTCTAAATGTTAAACCTACTCATGAACTCTCTCAGGGACACCAAAACAATGTTCAGTCAGATAGTTGGACGTCCCTAAGTCTGGCACATGGGTGACAAGAGCAAGACTGTTCAGTTAGTCAGTTGTGATGTCTAAGATAGAGCATCACAGAGCTGTGGCAGGTCTAAGTCCTCAGTCATGAAGGAAGTGGGACGTTTTCTTATCCCCCTCTGGGCTCTGTCTATATGATGCTGTTTGACACCACCAGTCTCAGGTAACACGTAACTGGCAAAGCAGTGTAGAAGGTCTTTAGGTCAGCAGTTTTCCTCTGGCCTCTTGGACTGGAATGACACTGCAGAACGGGAAGTCAAGGATGGGAGCCTGGTGGTGATTCTGCAGGCTGGCGCCTTTTGAGTGGGCACTTGGGGAAGCCCCAGCATTACCAACGTGCTGCAAATCCATGCTTGCAGTAACTGTCCCCACAACATGCCCATCTGCCTAGGACAGTGAGGAAGCTCCCACCCCCAGGAGCAAGGAGTCATGAGGAGTCAGGGATGGGTGGATTCGGGGACAGGGATAGTGTCAAGGAACACAGCAGGCAATACATAAAATAATCTGGATGTGGAGTCTGTAATCTCAGCACTTAGCAGGATGAGGCAGAAATGCCCTGAAATAGAGCCAGCCTGGGCTACAGACTGAGACAGGAAACAACAAGAAAAACATCATTCACAAAGCACATCATGATAGTCTGAGGATATACTCATTGAAGGCTGTAAACAGTGGCATCTGTCTCATGACTTAAGGAGAAAGAACCCATAGTGAGTATTGGAGTTTTCCGGGGCCAGCTAAGAGGCTAAAAATTTCTCTTCTCTCTGTTCTGGAGACTGGAAGCCCAAGATCAAGATGCCAGCGGGGCTGCGTCCTCAGAGTGCTTTCCTTGGCGAGCCGAGGTTGTGTCTGAGTGCTCCACGTCGCCTCTGCTCTGTGTCATGGTCCTAGTGACTATTTGTCTTCTACTTTAAAAGACAGTTACTTATTTTTGCACATACATATGTTTTGTATGTATGTATGTATGTATGTGCACAACATGCATGCCTGGTGCCTGGGAAAGTCAGAAGAGTACTTTAGATCCCCTGGAACTTATGAACAGATGGCTATGAGCCACCATGTGGGTGGGTGCCTGGAATTGAACCTGAGTCCTCTGCAAGAGTAAAGAGTTCTCTTAACTGTTACGATAACTCTTCCCTCCAGCTTGGGCCCACTGTGGCTTTGCCCCAAATGAACACACAGACACTATATTAATTATGAAACTGTTGGCCGTTGTCTTGGGTTTCTAGCTCTGTCTTTACTATTAACCCATCTCTATCAATCCATGTATTTCCATGTGGTCTTGGTTTACAGGTGATCCATCCCTCTAGTCTTCCTTCTCTTCTTTTGAACACATCAATTTTATTGGTTTGGGATCTCACCCTTATGACCTCATGTCCCTTACTTAATTCTATCTCCAAATACAGTCAAGCTGCTAGTTAGGCCTCTGTAAATGAGAGGGTCACAGCCCAGCCAATGGCAGTCTTACCTATTTCCATCCACATCCCTGTAAATACCAGTGGGGTGCACTGACAGTGCTAGACTATCCCCCAGAGTTCACACTTGTTGAGTCAGGCCCAATGTCTGACCTCTGTTAGTGGAACATGAGCCCCTTTCCCAGTGGTCAGGGTCCACTAAGATGCTTCGCATGCCAATTGGGAGGGGAGTTCGGATGGCAAGAGTTCTAGACATGTGAAAATTATGAATTGCAGGTTCTCTATCCTCCATTCTGTCGTCCTGTTGGATAGCGTCCCCCATGAGATCCTTCATTGTCTGAGTCTGAGATCCTCTGAATTAAACGTCTTGCTGCAGCACCAGTGACAGTGCCTGGGTCAGAACAAAGTCCTGCATTCCTGTATCCCACGCTGAAGTCACTGTCAACAGTGGCCAGTTAATTTGAAGACATCTTCATATGATGGTGAGCAAGGTGGTGTTAAACAGATAGCTTTGAAAAAGCGTCACTTGTAACATGGGACTCTGCTCACACTGGGTGGGCGGTATGGATGATTAGATGAAGGCTAATCAGTTACAGGTGGCATGCTAACCCTGAGAGGAAGCCTCCTGGTGTTGCTTGCCTGGGCAGTAGAGATTTTCCTGGGGATTTTTATTTTTTTATTTTTTGAGACAGGGTTTCTCTGTGGCTTTGGAGGCTGTCCTGGAACTAGCTCTTGTAGACCAGGCTGGTTTGGAACTCACAGAGATCCACCTGCCTCTGCCTTTTGCTTACTGGGATTAAAGTGTGCGCCACCACTGCCCAGCAGATTTTGATTTTCTTTGGCCACATTTCACACCACACACCTGATTGGAGATTTCTAGTGTATTCTTATCCCTGCATGGTGTGGTAGACAGTGCTATAGCAAGAAGATTGAGTGTGGGCAACCTTAGTTTGGGTTCTTTTTTTTTTTTTTTTTTGGTTTTTACGAGACAGGGTTTCTCTGTATTGTTTCGGAGGCTGTCGGTCCAGCCCGGCCTCGAACTCACAGAGATCTGCCTGCCTCTGCCTCCCGAGTGCTGGGATTAAAGGCGTGTGCCACCACCGCCCGGCCTAGTTTGGGTTCTTACTGATGGTGACACCCCCACAACCTCAAAGCCTGAACCTCCAGGACAGAGGCAGATGCCTACAGTGGTCACTGCCAGGCAGATGTCTGTCCCCCCAGCCCAGGATAGTTAACTGTCCGTTCCTCACTAACGCTATGACTATAGCGAGGAGTCACTATATTTTCTGGATGCATCAGTGGATATGCAGGCATGGGGAGGGAGGAGTATTGTAGGAGCAGTTATGAACCTGAGGACTGTTGGCTGGCCCCACCCCCAAGTTGGAATGCCAGCTGTTCTAAAGGACATCCAAGCTACTTGTTCCACAGAAAACCCTAACCTCGGCATTTACAAACACAGGCTCAACACTTGCCCCTTTTCCCATACCTCTTTCTCC